AATCAAGAATGGAAAATTATGCAACAATCGTTTTATTATTTAAAGTGAGAGTGTTACAATCACTATGATTCCTCTGAATTCGCCTTTTCAAATATAATTCAAGGGCTCTTGAGCTTGATCTTGAACTTGAGATTTATCTTGATCTTGAACTTGAACTTGGACTTGGACTTGAACTTGGACTTGGACTTGATCTTGATCTTGAACTTGATATTGACTTGAACTTTATTTTGATCTTGACTTTTAGTTGATTTCAAGGGCTTTGGTCTTGATTTTTGATCGTTTTTGAACTTGAACTTTATCTTGATCTTGACTTCTAGTTGAATCCAAGGGCTTCGAGCTTGATCTTGAATCCAGCGGTCTTGATCTTGATCATTCTTGAACTTGAACTTTATCTTGATCTTGACTTCTAGTTGAATCCAAGGATTTCGAGCTTGATCTTGAATTCGGCGGTCTTGATCTTGATCGTTCTTAAACTTGAACTTTATCTTGATCTTGACTTTTAGTTGAATCCAAGGGTTTCGAGCTTGATCTTGAATCCGACAGTCTTGATCTTGATTGTTCTTGAACTTGAACTTTATCTTGACTTCTAGTTGAATCCAAGGGCTTCGAGCTTGATCTTGATCGTTCTTGAACTTGAACTTGAACTTTATCTTGATCTTGACTTCTTTCAAATCTTGAATTCTTAAACTTGAATCTTGAACTCTTGAGTTCTTGAATTCTTAAACTTGTAGCTTGTAGAGAAATTTGTGGCTTTTAATCCACAAGCTTTCTCTAGTTTTTTGTTTAGAATTCTTCGTTCTTTTTTTTGAATTATGAGGACTCCTATTTATAGTTTTAAAATAGAGGAGTTGTGATTGGAAGAGAACTCCCTTCGGCCAATCAGATTTAAGTGACATGACATATGAGTTTTATAGAGCGGGCTTTAATTAAATCTATATTTATTAGGTTTAAATAATTAGCTCAATTATATTTGTCACGCCCCGAGCTACCCCCGAGACCTAGGACCACAAGTGATCCCAAGCTAACCCTGCTGGCATGATCATGAGCATACTAAAGATAATAAAATGATACAGAAGTTAAATCATAGATAAGATGAAAAGATGGAAAATGCCCATATACTATAACTGAGATAAATGAAAACTGATAAGTTTAATACAAGGAAGATATTGACTCAATACTAAGCTGAATGTATCTATGTCTGAAATAAGCCTCTAAACTGACTAGAAATGTTGGGACATGCCCCAACTAGATCTAGCAAAACTGAAACTAAAGACTGAAGGCGATAAAGATAAACATGTCACTAGTCCTCGAAGAATAAGGACTCACCACTGATGTTGCTGAACTGGAGACCGGGAACCGATCTAAGCGTGATCTGGATACTGAGAACCTGAACCTACATCATGAGAAGATGTAGCGCACGTATGCGTCGATACTTGAAAGGTACTGAGCATGCAGGATAGAGTAAAGTTGAAATAACATATAACTAAACAAAGCAATAAAGCAATGAAATAATCTGAACATGATATAGATACTGAATATTGAGCTAACTGAATGCAATAACCAATTTATAACATGCGGAGACTGAATATTGGTTGTACTTAAATATGGTCAATGCAATAGAGTCTAACTGAACTGTGGGAGCTACTAATAACCGACATAAAACCACATGAGCTAAATGTCGAGTTCGATGTATACGCCCCATCGAGAGGACCCAATATACCCTGCCAGAGGTATAAAGACATACTGGCGTGATCACTAAACTGATATTGCCCACAAAGGGGACTTACACCTACGTGGCTCGTAGTTCTGGGACTATATGGGTATGCTGAACCCTAGTCCAACTCGATATTATGCTACTCCCAATTAATTAAGTAGTTAACTAGTTATGAATGAGTTTCTATAAATACTGCATAGCTCAAAACTGAACATGCAAACTGAGAATGCAACAATTAATCTGATAATGATGCATTCATAAACTGAGGCATGTATAACTCAATATATTATGACTGAAATACTGAATAACTCAAAATACTGACATGTAGATACTCATACTTGAAAACTCCCTTATTTTTTTTGAAAACAATTCAACAACATATTATACCATGATCATTGATGACTTGGGAAGTCATACTGCACAAACATTGATGGTATATCTAGATACCATACTATTCATACATTGATGACCTACTCAATTGTCATACTAATCATGTTTTAGAAGCTCTTTCTCAAAACTTATCTTAACTTTCTCAAAAACTCAGTTTAAAACTCAAGTGTTGTCTTAAAGAAAAGCTTTTCAAGATTTATAACTCAAAATAGGGTTTATGCTGAAATATACTGATAATGTGGCATAAAACTGGAGCATGTATATCTGAATAACTGAAATATCTGACCTAGCATGTGTAATTCAAGAACTAATGAAATACATAGCTAGGGTTCTGAAATTTATGTAAGAAACTGAGCAATAACATGATAATCTGATTTGGAACATTCAAATAACTAATTCATAATGATCTGTTGAAATTCTAGAAACCTTAGGTCTGTTCATAATCATGGAATCAAGAATCTGATTGAATTCTAGGGACTTAATGGGCGAAAGGAACCCATTAGTGAAATCCCACATACCTGGTGACGAATTTCACGAAGAAATCCTTTGATTTCTGGGCTAGAATTGAAGAAAACTTGTTGCCTTCTTGAACTAGGGTTCTTGACCTTTTTCTTTACTCTTGATTCTATTTTTCTAAGATTTTGATTAATGAATTGACTTGGATAAGTTCTAGTTATGTTTCTAGGCTTAAACTGATTAAAACCTCATGATTTAGGGTTTAAATGACGTATCTAAGGGGTTAAACGAAATAGGAAAAGACCAAAAGACCCCTGAATTAACTGCTATCGAGTGACTGACGGACGGGACTGACAGGCTGTCAATCAATTGACGGTTCGTCGATTGGAACCGTTAGTCGAGTCTTCCTGACAGGGCTTCACTAAAATGAGCATAACTTTTTACTCGGATGTCGGAATTTAGCAAGCTCGGTGGCGTTGGAAAGAGGATTCAATTATATATCTAACCATAGGTTATGGGAGACATAATTTATTTTGTGTTAAGAGTTATGACCATCTGAAGTTGACCCATCAACAATTTTCAGCTAACTGGTTGTTGACCCTCATCTACGGTCAAACCTACGGACCGTGGATCGATTGACGGTCCGTGCTGGTCAACCGTCAATCGAGACTGAAGCTGGGCTTTTGGGCCATCGATCCACGGACACGAACTACGATCCGTGACCTGATCTACGGACCGTAAGTCCGGCCGTGGGTCAACACTTAGCCAAATTTTATGATTGAGTTCTAGGGAAGTTTTCTGACCTGCAGGACGGACCGTGAGTCCATCTACGGTCCGTGGATGGTGTCCGTGAGTGCCACCTGTAACACCAGAAATCTGAAATCTCTATTTTCGGATACGGGGTGTTACAATATTAATCTATAATATTTATTTGAACTAATATATTCATAAATTTAATATAATCCGAATCATTTTATAAATTTATATTTAATAAATTTTAAATGACTACACACATCATTACTTTTTAAAATTTATTGTTCTCACCGACATAAAATTTATTTTTCTCACCAACATATAGTCAATTTAACTCACACCAACCAATTGTTGAGTAATAATTGTTCTCTTCATTTACTCCAACACCTAATTTATTACTTTTACCGTTTTGTATTTATTACAACTCAAAGTAACAATGTTGGTTTGACTTTTCGGTCACATGATCGAGAAATGCAAGTTCAACGTGAGGAAATTATTCGTACTATGTGGGAGAATTATATTAAAGACTAGTACACTACAATTTATGTTCAACTTTTTTTATTGAATTAAAGTTTGATGAATTAAAGTTAGATGAAACAATTACTTAAGTGGAGAATAAATAACTTTGTAATAATTTATTATGCGATTTTATAAATTTTTGTTTATTTGGTAAGATTGAATAAAAAAATTGGGGTTATTTTAATAGTTTTACAACTTATGGATTATTATGTTTATGAGAAAATATACAACACAAAAATTCCATATCGCATGTCCAAACAAAACTTCAATTTCATCTCATAATTCCATATTATGATATCATATCATGATTCCATATCGCAGGGCCAAACAGTCCCTAATTACTCACTTTTAAGCCAAAAATATTTTAAAATAGGAGAATTTTCGCATATAGCTACTCAAAAATAGCTTAATTATGCTCCATAACTATAGTTTGCTACTTACGATTCGTAACTACAGTTATATGGTGGAGAGTGACTAGCGAGATTGGTAGAGGGAGGAGAGAGACGAGCGAGAGATGGCAGAGAGTGAAGAGAGTTGAATTGTATATGTATATCAGTTAGATAATTGTATTTATGTAACTACTATATATATGTATCAATGATTGTATTTATATATTTGCATACAATTTGAATTCGTATACAATTGAATCGAGTTAAAACATTTGTATTTGTATATTCAATCTCTCTCTCTCATTTTATACAAACACAAATTATACATTATATTTGTATAATTTGTGTTTGTTTAAAACGAGAGAGAAAGAGAGAAAAGATAGAGGAAGAGAGGAGAGAGGCGAGAGAGAATGTAATTATAGCTAGAAGTAAGTTTTGAATTGTAATTAATGTAAATTGTAGCTATGTTAGCTAATTAACTAGTATATATTTGCTTAATCGCATAATTTTTTTTCTTAAAAATAAGTCAAAAGCCAAAAAATAAAATCATCTAAAACTTTTTAGATTTTAATTTATATAAGTTACTTTTTATAACCTAATCCAAACGAGACGCTAAATTTTCAGAAAAAAGAGAATATAAGTGATAAAAAGACTTAAATAGCGTTGAGATGAGAAATATGTGAGGCAAAACCCTAATTATAACTTATGATAGTGTCGCCGTTACACAAAAGGGCCTATTTTTACTCTATAAAAGCAAGCTCAAATAGATATTTCCATCTATTCTCTTTCGCTAAACCCTAAAGTTTTCCCTTAGGGTTTTATAGTTGTCTCCTCCTCCCGCTGCTTCCTTCTTTTTCCCCCCCACAACTTGTAATGGGTAAATCTATCAAGAAGTCCGCCACCAAGGTTGATGCTGCTGTAGTTGCTCCAACGAAACCCATGAAGAAAGGTTTGATCTTTCCCCCCCTTTTTGTTTTGTTGATTTTATGTTTTTTCTTGTTATGGGTTCTAAAGTTTGAACCTTTTGACTCTTTTAATTTGTCTGATTGAGGTTTTCTTGAAATTTTTTGTGTGGTTTTCGTTTTATATGCTCTGTTTTTTTTTTTTTTTTTTGTGTGTTTTTTTAGCGTCCATGGATGGTGTGTTGAGCAAAACACTGCCTTTTTTTTTTTTAACAAGTGCCCTTTCCTTACCCCTAGCGAATTCACAAGGTTGATTTTGATGGTTCTTGTTCTTGGTAGAGGAAAACATATATTGGTTGGTGGTCTGACTAGTTGACTGTATGTTTACAGGGAAGAGAGAAGCTGAGGATGAAATTGCCAAGTTGGTTAGTGCAAAGAAGCAGAAGAAAGATGCGGTTGTAGCACAAGCTGTTGAGAAAAAGAAGACTGATGTCAAAACTCAAAAGAAGAACAAGCAAGAAAGCAGTTCCTCTGACGATAGCTCCTCTGAGTCGGAAGATGAGAAGGTAATGCATGCACCTAATTCTTTTCATGTAGTCTGTAAAGAATTTTGATTTGTATTGCAGTGAATAACTGGCTTCATGTGTCTTGTTCTTATTTTGTATGCAGCCTACTAAAGCAGTGGTGCCTCCTAAGAAAGTGACTCCTGCCAAAAAAGGAAAGGTAGCCAGCAGTTCTGACGACTCAGATTCTTCAGATGAGGATGAAGTAATTTACTATCTAACAGCTGCTATGTGTATTTTTGATAGTATTTTGTCTTGTTTGGTAACTGACTGCTGGTGTTGTGATGGTGTATAGGCTCCTGCTAAGAAGGTTGTTGCAGCTTCAACTAAGAATGGCGTTGCTGCTAAGAAGAAAGATGAGTCAAGTGATGATTCGGATGATAGCAGCTCCGAGGAAGATGTACCTGCACCCAAGAAACCTTCTACTAATGGCGCTAAGAAAGACGAGTCAAGTGATGATTCTGATGATAGCAGCTCTGAGGATGATGCTGTTGTTAAGAAGGCACCTGCTGTTGTTAAGAAGGCGCCTGCTGCTGCCTCTAAAAAGGAAGAATCCAGCGATGACTCCAGTTCAGATGATGATGTAAGGACCAGATATGCAAATATTTTCCCTTGACAACTTACTTATGAAATTGGTACCATGTTAGATATGCTATCAGCGCTTTGATACTATAATTGATTGTCTTTTTGACAGGAACCTCCCTCTAAGGTAGCTGCTCAACCTAAAAAGGCTCCTCAAGCTGTGAAGAAGGCTAGTGACAGCTCTGATGATTCTGATTCTGATTCTGATTCTGATTCAGACAAGGTTTGACCACTTGATTGTTTTGTGTTATTTTTGTCCTATTGTATTTCATAGAATCCATTAACACTTGCGTAATGATCTTAGATGTATTTTTGAGTATGTTTGTATGATATTTTTGCTGGATTTGCATGGTTGCCTGATTATTTCCTCTCTTTAGGTAAAGGCTGCTACTGAATCTAAAAAGGCTGCTACTGTATCCAAAAAGGTATGCCTGAGTTCCTTTCCTGGCATACTGCACTTCTTTGTTTGAACAATATTAGTATTTTGTTAGCCAAGGTTTTTATATTTTATAAGTTCATTGCTTTTGTAGGTTGCTTCATCTGATGATGACAGTGAGGATGATAGTTCTGAGGAGAGTGATGAAGAGCCTCAAAAGAAAAAGAGCAAGGTCTCAATATGTTTCATTTGTGATGTTTCAATTTGTATTTCATTTTATTTCACGCTCTAACACTTGTGCTTCACAGGCCTCTACCACTCCAGTTGTCTCAAAAACTCCAGAGAAGAGTAGTTCTGAGGAATCTTCTGACTCAGAGGACTCCTCTGAAGATGAGGAGGGTGACAAACCATCCAAAACTCCCAAGAAGGTCATATATTTTCATATCTTTGGGTTGATCAGCATTTTTTTTTTTTGGCATCATCTGCATCTTTCATATTAGTGGCCTCATAGGTCTTCCAGTTGGATTTAGCTTGCATTGTTTTCCCTTTTTTTAATTATTGTTTAGCTGTTCCTAAGATGTAAGTTTGGACTTTTTCAATTTATAATTAGTCAAATAAAATTGTCTGAACTGTGGGAGGTTTTCTTGCTAAATCAGGGTGCTGATGTAGAAATGGTTGATGCTCCTTCTGCTAAAGCTGTAAGTGAAGCTTTATATAATTATGTTCTTAATTGTTAGTTTTATAAAATTATATTTGCATGTATTTTACTTGGAACTGTTTTATTTTAAAATGCAGCAACAAACCCCTATTACTCCTAAAGCCCAAACTCCAGGGGGATCGAAAACATTGTTTGTTGGAAATCTATCCTATTCAGTCGAACAGGCGGATGTGTGAGTTATTATTGAACTTTTCCAGTACTTTGTCTGTGTGATAATAGTGTGATATATCTAGGACTTATAAAAGAAGGATTTTTGCAGGGAGAATTTCTTCAAAGATGCTGGAGAAGTTCAGGAAGTGCGCTTTTCGACACATGAGGATGGTTCGTTTAAGGGCTATGGTCATGTTGAGTTTGTCACTGCTGAAGCTGCACATAAGGTAGTTTTTTTTTTCATAACCAACTAGTCTGAATGCATGCTTGCTTCTATGATCTGGACAGTGTGATAGTATATTAAAATAAGGCCCATTCCTCTCAATCTCTCTCTTTCAAAGTGAAGTGACTCTCCATTAAATTCCAAGTTGTCAAAAAAGAAAATATGTTGAACTTAAAGTTCATATTTATATATATACACACACATGTATGTATGTGTGTATACATATGTATGTATGTATGTATATGTAAATATGATATGTTATGCGTCAGTCTCACTTGACCATGAACCTAAATTGGAACTTCAAAGATTAAAGTGCCTACCATAATTGTATAGATAAAGATGAACACCATCCATTACATACATTGACCTGATTAGCTTTTTTAGTCCCCTGTGAATGGAATGCTAAAATCTGTTGTTTATCAATTTAGGCACTTGAACTTAATGGGCATGATCTTTTGGGCCGTGATGTGAGGTTGGACCTGGCTCGTGAGAGGGGAGAATATACACCTCGCAGTGGGTATGCAATCTCTCTCCCCTTATTCCTTCCATTTAAGCTGAAAGTAAAGACGTCAATTTCTCAATGGGTATCTTATGTTATGTAGGAGAGATGAGAACTCATTCCAGAAGCCGGCGGCTAGAAGTGATGGAACAACAATTTTTGTCAGGGGCTTTGACAAAAATGAGGCTGAAGACCAGGTCCTTGTCTTGAACCGTGTTGTTTCTCACCATTGTCTGTGACACTTCCCTTTGATGTCTTGAGATGTTCTAAATATCATATGCTATTGCAGATTAGGAGTTCACTGGAGGAGCACTTTGCATCTTGTGGGAAGATCTTTAAAACAAGAATTCCTACAGACCCAGAAGGCTATATTAAAGGGTATTTCTCATTTTCACGTGCATGCTTTCTCATTTTTGATTGTCCAGCTTTGCCTCCTAACAATTTGTAGGTCGATAGAAGCATTTGTTTTTTTTACTGATGACTCTGTTAATTTGGCCTTCTCTTGCAGGATGGCTTATATCGAGTTTGCAAATGGTGATGCTGATGCTCTAAACAAAGCTCTTGAGCTTGATGGATCAGAAGTTGGAGGGTTTAGCTTGAATGTGCAAGAAGCAAAACCAAGGGGTGACAGTTCAGGTGGAGGTGGCAGAGGTTTTGGTGGTAGAAGTGGTGGTAGGGGTGGAGGTAGAGATAGTGGTGGTAGATTTGGCGGTCGTGGTGGTGGAGGCCGCTTTGGTGGTGGTGGTCGCTTTGGTGGTGGTGGACGCGGTGGAGGTGGTGGACGTTTTGGCAGTGGAGGCAGAGGACGAGGAACTCCCAACAAGCCAAGCTTCACTCCATCTGGTAATGTCATTATATCTGAACTTTTACTGTTTACTTGGGGAAAAGATGAGTCCTTTTCCCTCTCTCCCCTACTACTGCATCCGAACCTTTTGGTTCTTTTAATTTTTTTAAAACATTGTACATGGTTGGTTGTGCCATATTGATGAACAAATGCTACTGCACCGAATCTCACCTATAGCCATAGATATCGCATGGGAAGAACAAAATAGCGGTTCTGAACTGTTTTTGAAGTCTCGAATTTCATTATTTTCTTGGCTAATTCATTTTAATGTTGTGGTAATTTTGCAGGTAAGAAGACTACCTTTAGTGACGAGTAACTTTGTCGCTGGGACTTTATGGCCAACTTATCTTGATCTCGTGGACGTTTTATCTTATTTTAAAAATATTATAAATTTTGTTAGCAAGAACTTTAGTAGTTAGTAGACAAGTCGGATAATTTTGTTTCTTTTGAGTTTATGTACCATTCTTTGTGGGTGGAAAATGAGTTTGTTCATTGTTGATATCCAGTGTTTGGTATCTCTTATATAATTGCTTCATATGACAAGTTATTTTTCGTAACCCTTGTGAAAAATACAATAATGTTATTGATGTAGGTAAGGTAGAATAACCACCTCAAACATCAATGTAAATTTTCCCTTGTTTATTATATGCTCAACTCCACCTCAAAAATTTTCACCATAAACAAAACCCCGCTCCTTCTCCAAAATAATATACAAATACCCTCATCATTGAACCATCAGAAATTCAAAATTAGATAGATTGTGATTTCTCCCTCAAAGATTATCTCTATTTATGATAAATTCTTTATCCACACAAGTTTCAATAATTAGAGACATCTAAAATACTTGTTTTGATCGAGTTGAGGTGTCTCAATGAAGTTGAGGTGTCTCAATGAAATTTTGAGGAATATAATTGTTGGAATATCAAATCGGAAGGTCTTTCAAATCAATATATGATTAAAGCATGAAAGGAGTCGAGATTGAAAATACTAAAATAGACTGTTTATATACTTTTATGCATGCTTCTTAATAAAATGCGTAGTATGATTATTCCTTTTCAGAATATCCAGGTACTCCTTTGAGAATTGATTAAGTTGATTCGATTGAAGAAAAAGAAGGATAGAAAATGAATGTTTTCTTTCTTTTGAGTATTAAAAAGGAGAGGAGATGTAGATCGTCTTTATATGACAACAATTGTTATTAAACTTAATGCTGAAATTATTTGATATGTGCAGATACTGCCTTTACTTTGTTAATGTGGACACTTTTTTTGTTGTTAAAACTAGTAATATTGCTAATGTGGATACTTCCAAATGCAATAAAACCATAACTGGATTTTGAAGCAAAAAAAAGAGATAAGAACTTTGAATGAGCATTGCACTGTTTGAAACTCAGTGCATACAACTTTCCCTAGGTGTGCAGAGTATCAAAGTTTTGGGCTAACCACTTTTGGTTTATGATTATGTATTTTTATGCAGGAAATGATGAGATATTTTTAAGTATGATTAATAATCGAATAACTAAATCATATCAAATCGAATCGAAATCGATAACAACTAAATCGATAAATATATATTATATTTGGTTTTATGAATTTAAAAATGATTAAATTGGTTCGGTTTTTATTTTGATCAATAACCGACCCAAACCGACCCGTGAATACCCCTATACACAATTAATAATAATTGTATCAAGATTATAAAAAATAACTACATTTAATGGACTATATAATATTTTTTATAAAATATTTATATCTACTTGATCCATTCAATATATATAAAATGTATTAATACAAGAAGTCAAGATAGAACTTCTTGAAAATATTAGGTTTTTAATTCATTTACTTCATAATTAATAGGGATAAAATGGTAAATTTACTATGTAAATCATTGTTTTCTTAATAGGTGTGTCAATTCAAAAGTAAACAAGTTTTTAGGGACAAAAGAAGTACTATATCTCAACATAAGGATGATTGATAAAAAAATGAGAGAATAAAGATGAACTCATCTCATCATCATTACATTTGTAATTAGTATTAAATGTCATTTAAAATTGAATAAATTTGACAAGAAATATATATTTCTTGTGTAACAAAAGGCTCAGTGAAATTGCAAATGAGCAGAAGATATATGGTTGTTTTACACCAAGAAAACATAAAAACAAAGAGAAAACAAAAGAATGGAAGAAAAAATGATCACTTTCCAAAATATAGTAGTAGTGTATCTCTCTCTCAAAGACCAGCCATAAATGGAACACCAGCTGCAGGAAGCCATTTGTTTCCCTGAATGAAAGGCTTTACTGTGAACTTGCTAGCTATTTTACTTGTAAGTCCCAATTTCAAGCCTTCCCAATTAACTCTGTTTTTTGTATTTGCCCCTGCTCCAGTATTGTTATACTCAGCATAAAATATGGTACTTGGAGCTGTGGTTCCAACCCATGGCATCCATCCATTTGGATGAATGAAACCTCCCAAGTTTGATTCCATGAAAACAGTTGTTGAGTAATTCTTCCATGGCCTTCCTAAAAATGTATTGATCCCAGTAAGGTTTCCCCACGGCATAACACTACAGTTTTGGATAGAAATTCCAGTGTTTTGATTTGGATCAACTTTTCCTTGAGCTGTGATGGTGTTCTGTTGCCCACTCATTGGTATTCTTGGAAGAATGTTGCAGTTTTGGAGTACAACAGCTGAGTTACCAAAGATGAAATCCACTGTCCCATAGATATCACATTCTTTGTAGAATTGTCTGTTGGAATGAGCATAAAGAGTGTCTTGGAACGCGTCCATTCTGCAGCGGTAGAACACTGATTCATCTGCTGTTGACATTAATGCAACTGCTTGATGCTTTGCTGCACCAGCTGTGTTTACAAATCCAATATCACGAGCCACAAATCCCTTTCCAAACACAGCTGCAGAAACACTACTATGTTCATATATATATAATTATTACCTACTCTGTTAGGAATCACTAATCAGAATTAAGAAACTTACCGAAGGTGGCACTTTGGAATGTAGGTGTTCCATCAATAAAGTTACGGTTACCAGAAACGATGGTAGCATCTTTTCCATCACCAATAATCATAATGTTCCATTTAGTCTTCTCAACCCTAACATTCTCTTTGTAAACACCCTTTTTCACATAGATCACAAATCTCTTCTTGCTCTTCTCTGGTGCAGCTTTTAGTGCTGCCTTAATGCTCTTGTACTTCCCTGAACCATCTTTAGCCACTACTACATTCACCTTTATCTTTGTTTCTGATGATTTCTGCAGCAGTTTCCTGTCATTTGATGACGACAACCAGCTCGGGTACTCATCATCATTATCATCTTCATATCCCATCAAACGTCTCCTCTTTCCGATAGCACCTAAGCTGGTAATGGAATTTTCTAACGAGCTTATAAGTGCCAAGCTGTTACTGGTGTACCGGGTGGAGTTGTTCAAATTCTGTCCTGCAGCTTTGCGTATGGCACTATTTGATGTGACATTTTCAAAACTATCAATACAGGTCTGCTGATAAGTCCCTGCAGAACTCAACCATGTCCTTAGATCATCAAAGGCATCGAGTAAAGAGGTTTCAGCAACGGACAACGTGTCATTCAGATGATCAAACGCAAGGGATAGAAGCTCGTGACAACTCTGGATAGCTTTAGCAGCTGCTGGATCATTGATGTTTTGAATGTATCACTCTTTAAGAAGTTATCGGAGGCACCAGAGAGCTCGTTGAGGGCAACTAGAACAGACATCTTGTAGATATCTTGAGGTTTGAGAGCATTGCCTTTTGCAGCATATGGGGAAAGGCTGGAGATACATGAGTCGGGATAGAGGGTTAGATTGCATACAGCACTAATGGTTGAGGTCATCGACGAGACATTATCATTTTGTTGGGAAGATTTGTTTTTGTTGTGAGAAACACCACCAACCACTGCCCCGATAACGATGGACACAAGAACAATGGATGATATGGCAATAATTATGATTCTCTTCCTCGTCTTACGACGAGCCATGAGCCTCTCATTGTCTAGTTCGTCAAGCTTTCCCCATGGATTAAGAGAGGCCATGGTGATTGATGTATGATGGATGCAAATAAAATAAAATTAAATTTAGATGAATGGGCTGTTTTTGATGTACAAATTTGGCTCTTATTTATACAAAAAAAAGAGCAATTATATGACTTTGAAAAATGAATATAATTATTTTAAAGACAAAAACGCGGGAATTAAGTACGTGCAAGGCATCACCAAAGTGGAAATTATTCTCATTTTGGCTATCGACGTGTTTCTCATGTCTTCTTTTTCATAATTTCCCCCTAACCACTAACTCATAAATAGAACTTCTTTCATCACCAAGTCCACCAACATTTCTCCTATAGTATATTCACCTAAAATATTCCTCTAGTCAAACCCCCAATCTATCTATTTATCTATATTAATTATATATTATAAAGTACGTACAAAACTTCTTGAGTTATAAAATTAAATTATCAAAATGTTCATCAAAGCTAAACATCGTTTTTGACATTCACTTAAGCACTACTTAATACTTATTTTGTCCCAATTTATGTGACACTTTATTTTGTTTTTCAAGAGTCAAACAGTTTATGTTTGATTAGGAATTTGTGCATGGAATCTTCAAATGCTTTGAAATGAAATTTATATATTTGTAAACTACGTAAAAAGTACTCTAAGTCACAATAATTAACAATTCAAAATATTTAAATGATATATGAAAAATTTACGGTCAAAGATAAATTTGTTTGAATATAGAAATCCAAAAGGTGCCAAATAAATTGGAACAGAGGGAGTATTATTTTTGTACAAAAATATAGATATATATTCCACTCCTCTGTTTTAATTTGTTTGTCTTACTTTCCTTTTTTTTTAACCTCCATTTCAATTTGTTTGTATTACTTTCCTTCTCTAATCCGTTTTTTTAAAAAAGATTATTTTTTACAACTATTTAATTCTATTTTTTTCACATGATATTTTTAAGATCACAATATTCAAATTTTTTCTTTATTTTCTTAAACTCTATGTCAAATCAAAATCAGATAAACAAATTTAAATCGGGAGTAACAAATAAGAATAGTAAAATCTATATCTATATATAATATAAAAGAAAAATATATATAAAGTGATGTGACATCTCTCTATGACCTCCATTTATATTTATCTTTTTTTTTGGACACTAGTGAACAAAGTTGTGTTTAGCGCGATCATGAATAAGTTAGTGAATTATATACAGTATAAGAGGCTAGGAAACAGATGTTGGACGACATGACTGCTTCCTAGCCTAGGCGTATTTTTGGAATTATCTATTTTTGTGCTTTAAAGGTATTGTATTTAACTGCTTTATATGTGTGCGTTTTTCCTGTTGGACCAAAAAGTCAGCCACTTTGGTTTGAATCAAAACAAAAATGTGTAGCTTTTTGAAATTGTAGGACCTGTTATAAAATAAAGATAATGTACTAAAATTAAGAAGACAAATAGATGAGAAAATATTAAGTGTAGTCTTTTTCTTTTTCGATTACTTTTGCCTTATGTTATGTTTCAAGAAAAGAGCTATTTATACATATATATAATTGGGCACCTAGTATAATATATGGATATTTATTTGCCATGTATATACTTGAGCACCAAGTATATTGTATAACTAGCTTACAACATATATTATGTTGCGTGTATCCATTTTACACACAATGTATATTGTGTATACATTTATGTTACTACACAAAGTATACTGATGTGGACATCATTTTACAATACTCCCCTTTGAATGTCCATGTAAAAGAATTTTTTTAGTGAAAACAAAAGGTGTAGTAATATGCTTTGTTTTAGTGTCTCATTAAAAAATCTTTACCAGAAAAATTCAGCGGGATAAAACTCGATTAAGGGAAAAAGAGTGCAACGCGTATTTACTCCAGTGATGAAGATACACTTAACAACTTGAATATGACGTAGTCCAATCTTGTATTTCAGCTTCTAAAAGGTTGGAGTTGATAATGCCTTGGTGAATGTATATGCTAAATTATCACTTGAACGAATTTGTGAGCATTTGCTTCATACTTCTTTTGAACACCATAAGCAAGAAAAAACTTTGATGAAATATGTTTTGTTCTGTCTCTTTTTATGTGTCTTCCTCTTAATTGAGATATACATGCAACATTGTCTTCATATAATGTTGTTGGAATGTCTCTTTTAAAAGAAATGTCACATATTTCTTGGATGTGTTGAGTTATTGATCTCGATCAAATATATTTTTGACAATCACTCGGTTTATCATCTTGTCGGCATAGACAAATAAATTGTTTGACTTGTTAGTAGCCATAACAAAGAACTGATGTCACGCCCCATAGTATACCCTAAGCGTAACATGACATATATAATCCCGAGAGGCCCTACACAAGCAACTTAGAAAACGTGAATAAGTTCATAGGTTCTTTTCAATTAAGATTTTATTGCTTAATTTCTATCTTCTAATGCATGAATTGAATTATTTACATGATTTTTAGTCGAATCCATTTGAAACCATGTATGATCCATGATTTTTGACTATGAACACATGATTTTTGACTATGAACACTTCATAACATGTATACCAACACTTCAATGCATACATGCCACCAACACTAAGTCCGTAAGCATCAAACACAATTTCCAACACAATCAATCACAAGGTTTACAATGATAATGATGTATGATGCAATGAAATGAAATGTCAAAAAGAGTGATTTATGTCTGTCCTACGATACACATCCGTTGCATATCAAGATGAAACCCATGGGGAACGCACAATGTCCATGTATTCACCGGAACCATTTCACATCTATATAATCATGAATCGGCAAAAAACACTTACCATTAGCATTGCTGGCATCATTACCCATCGACATAATCATCAATCGCTATAACCATTTCCCATCAACATCGCTGGAACCATTTCCATCGGCATTATCACAACAAGTCTCTTCATAGTGTTTCAGAATCAATGCAAATAGACATGTTCAAACAAATAAATTGACTATTTCTACCACAAAACTCCAATCTCAATTAGCAATTACACCCACAATTCTAGCAATTGAATGTAAAGAAATGAAGAAGGGAACAAGATAATTTACAAATAAGAACATAATCTTCAAACCCAATTGTGAATTGTGAGGCAACTTGCCTTCAAAGTCTCAGCCTCAAATTAGAATCTACAAGTTTTTTTCTACTCTGAGCTAAGAAGATGAATTAAAATTTTGTCTAAAATCTAGAATAGTGAATTAATGATTGTTGGTAAGTGTAAAAAGGGGTTCTGGGGTAACTTTTGTGAAATTTCCAATCTGCCTAGGTTCAAACATTTGTACCTTAGCGGTCGCGACAACTAACTCGTGCGGTCGCAATGAGTAGTGTTGCTGGGTCATGCGATCGTGAGATATGGATTTCTTGGGCAACGTAATCGCAAACTCTACTTCACGCTGTCGCAATGAACAAACTTCTACCAGTTCCACTTTCTTCCAATTTGACCTCTTCTTGCTTCAATTGCACTTGGTTTCTTCAAACATCTTCTAAATCAACTATCCATTTCATTTTCCTGTAAATATGAAGAAAGCAACATTAAAAGCACCAATTGTAAAAACAGAAAGCCAAAATAACTATGAAAAGAGCCTAAAATATGTGGAAAACTACCACTCATCAACACCCCGAACCCAGGGAGTCCTTCTCTTCCAGAAGAGCTGATGAGCATGGGATATAGATTCAAAACAGATATGTCCTACAGGGCTGGCTGTGCCCACCATCTTTATCTTTGTCTCCCCGTCGTACCGGGGTCTGCCTCTTATTCCACATTCCTATACTAATCTAATTTGGATTAAGATACTTAGAAACTATGCTTGTCCTCAAGTAAAAAAAATGAAAAACACAAGATGCTCTCATTTCAACAAACACCATAAATCAATTTCACCATATTACCACAAGCACAAAGGCGTGCATTCTTCAAGATGTTCCAAAATTATGCCCCTCTCCTTTATGATATTTTTGGTGAGGAGGCGTTCATACAATTGGTGGCATTTGACGGACACAAGCCACTATGATCAAAGATTTTATCCCCTATGACATTTTCTTTCATTTTTTCTTCATCTTGATTCACGTTGTCGACCATTCTTTGCAAATATAGTACCTATACAAGATGCAAACATGTCAAATGAATGCAAAGGTACATCAAGCAATGTATTATCAAGCAATTAGGACAAAAAAATAAGTGAAAAATTAATCGAGGGAACAAGGGTGAAGCTATTTTGGCAGTTTTCACTGCCAGGCAGATGACTCATCGTGATCGCAGATGGTTCCACGAGATCTCGAGCCTCACCTTCTCAAATCATCGCTATCGCGGGATAAGACATCACAATCACGAGATTTTAAAATTTAACACATCGTGATCGCGGATAATATTTCAGCCTAGAAATTTTTTTTCCCTTTGGACACCCTCAAGACAAGGATAGTCAACAACACTACTCCCCAAAATCAGGTTTCAATCACAATTCATGATCAAACAAAGATAAACAAATTAGGGTGAGAATCAACCTTTTTTCCAAAAAAACTTACCTATTTTTATATTGATCAAGAAAGGAGGGAAGAGATCATACTTTAAGGGAAAAGCAAAATGTTAAAGGGGATTCTTGCTAAATATAATGCAAGAACACGTGATATTATAGAGGGGGAGTTTTATAGGCATTTGGAGAGGTTGTGAGTACACAAAACTTGATTTTTGAACTGCTACCTTTTTAAATTCATGCGAGTCATCATGGTCGCGATCCCACTAGTCACGATCACGACAAACAACATTTTATCCCTTCACAAACCCATCTTATGGCTCTCACGATCGTTGCATCCAAATTTTATTCATCGTAATCACGATCGTTAACTCTTGTGATCGTGATGAATACTTTGATGTTAAACCTGATGAGGCTATTGTCCATTTGGGCGATGACAGGGTAGAAAGGGCTATCAGCCCAATCATTTGGGCAAACCTGATCGTGCCAAAAGTGTTCCCACTCCATTTTAAGGTGATTTCACCGAAA